CTCCTTGCAGAGTGGAGTCCTCTTGCTGTTGTAACACTTGGTTCAGTAGCTCTACGGGGCTCACAACAGGGGCAGGGGCCAGGAGCCTGACCTGAAGCCACCTCCTCCAAGTTCTAGCAGTGCCTACCCCACCAGCTATGGACACGCTGCTCTAGCCCCAGCAGCTGTGCCTAACACCGCCACGCCTGACCTGACTCCCCTAAACCACCGCTATGCACAGACACCATGGTGTCCTTCCTGCCTGGCCCTGATAAAAGGTCAGCTCTCACTAAAATCTCCCCCTCCCCAAAGGGAAGAGCAGCCCGAATGTGGGGAGGGTAAACAAAGAAAAGAAACATTCTGTATTTTAAAGGAAAGGAATGTCAACACACCACTGTTATTCTCATCTCCAAAAAAAGACCTTTGGTACTACACTAAGGCAGAGCTTAATCTTAAATGTCCAGAGCCCTTCCCAGGAGCTTCCCCAATCTTATCCTTCCGGATGGCCTTCCAGAATGCCTCTCCTATAACACCTTTACTCCTCCCTCCACCATCTCATTGTCCTTCTCAACATTAAAACCCTCTTCCTACTCCCTCTGATATGCCTGCCCCAAACAAACTGCTGCCAGACAGGCTTGCTTTGATACTTTTCTTCTTGCTGATCCTCCACTCAAAATCAGCAGAGACAAATCTCGCACACAGGTTTCAGTGCCTCTGGGCCTGCTCCCGTCTCTACTCCTGTCTGACTTCTTAGGCTGCCCACCATAGACCCTGGTATCTTCTTGTTCCCTGCTGGTCCTTGTGCCTTTGTCCACCTTTCTCTTCAAACCCCAATCTCCATCCTCTCCCATACACACAGTCTCTGTACCCTCCAATAATACATGCCGCACGTTCTCCAAGAGAAGTAGAATATACATTCTGCCCACTGCCAAACCTTATGTCAAATTATGTGCTCTAATTTTTAATCTGTGTGTGTGTGGCATTGGGGATTGAATCCATCACCTTCACAATGAGCTACACTCCTCAGCCCTTTTGTTTTTTATTTTTGAGGCAGCATCTCACTAATTCACTAAGTTACCCAGGCCAGACTCAAACTCAGTTGTCCACTTGCCTTAACCTCCCAGATTACTGGTATGGTCAGAGTATTGGTGTAAAAAGCACAGCTTGTATTTGGAGTGTTTGTCTATGTATAAAAATACAGATGGTTAAGTACATAGGATATAAATGATATATGTGATATGCAAATATATAGCATAGAGATAGGGATAGGGACAGGGATATATGTATTTAGAAGGTAATGTTCTGTGCCTACATGGTTCAAACTACCCCGTCCCATCCTGTCTGAACTACTGAAATCTCTGTACTCAATGATCTTATTTCTCTGAATTCTTACTGGTCATGCAGTTTGGGCTCACACTGAATCACTTAGAAGTAGACTTTTCCCCAGTTGCTTTGTGGAGCTGGCAATATCTCTCATAGTATAATCTCTCCCTAAGGTCTAAATTCTCATAGAAACCATCAAGTTCTAGGCAAGCAGCAGGTTCTTAGTGCACATTTGATTGTTTAATCAGTTAATTTGTTAAGTTAGAATGATGGCTATACACAGGAAGGAAGCAGTTCTGCCCCAACAGGGAACTGCAGCAGTGTCTGCAGACATTTCAACTTGTCTGGTGGGAGTGATGGCACAAGAGACCCCATTTTCAAGGAGAGTCACTTAAGTTCACTTAAGCTATAGATAAACTC